TAAGTCTTCCCTTGAAACATGTAACGCATTTTCTACTGTCATCATAAATTCTACGTAGTATGGCTGATATTACAATTCCAACGTTTCATCTCTCTCCAACAAAATATATATTGTGTCTCCGGAAAAATATACAAAGACTAAAATACAAATGGAAACACAATTATAATTTATCTGTATAAAAATTATTTATTACTTATTATATTTTTCTGAAGAAATTTGAATATTCGCACTTATATGCAAATGAAAAGTATCGCAGATGTATGTGACGTAATACTATGTCGATGCTTGTTGTAATCTTTGATTAGCAATGACCAGAGATAAGAATGATTAAACCCTCAAATTGGACGATATCGTATTCCTTCCCGCGATTCTTTTATAGGGGGTGAATTGCAGCGATGCATTATCTTAAATTTAATAAAAGCTACGTGACATTACCCGATAAAACTTATCTCGAAAGTGGAAATCGGGTGATCGCATTTAAGGGCTTAATTTATGGCGCTCGCGGGCGACGTAATCGATTGAAATCTCAGAAGTTTGCATGCGGAACGTCATCGGAGTATTCGTGTTGGTCGATGCTAACGAACGTTACCGCGAAGTGCCGTGCATTAAGTGCACTCGTGCGTGTCATCGTGACGTCAGTCAACCGGATCTCAGTTTCCTCTCCGTTTCCGAGTTCGAGACATTCTTGAGCGAGTATGAAAAATAGTCTGACCACTTGCTCAATTCTTAAACGCGATTCGAATCTGCATTTTGCACAAATCCCTCGCATATACATATATATATATGCATATCACGGAAATTTATAAATTTCGTAGAAAATAATAACAATTACAATCTTTTTTTTTTTTTTCGTTACATTATTCGTGGTAAAGTGTTCGTGGCATATTTAAAACTATCGGCGGGATAATGGCGCGCCCCTGTATATACGATGCACGACGGGTGTAAACGCTCGCGGGTGGCACGTGAAAGGCAATCTATGGTCGATTCATGCAGCTCGCAACCTCCCGGGGGCACCAGTCTGGCTGGAGAATAGAGGTTGTCTAGACACTCTCTTTTCGCGACCCTCCTGGTCCGCGATAATATTAACCTTTATTACACGACAGCAACTAATCCGCGAAAGACAATGCGCTCGAGAATGAAGGGATACCCTCTTTGCTCTTTGAATGTCTCTGACAAGTGCGTAATGCTTGCGTGGCCACCGGGATGTTCGTAGCGTAAAAGGGTTGAAGAGTGTCAGGCGAGAATTCTCGTTTGATGGAGAGCGACGATTAATCTCGCTGGAGAGAGAGAGAGAGAGAGAGAGATGCATATTTTTCTTACCTCCCTTTCACGTTCACGGAGCCGAGCAACTATTTATTAAAAGCACGACACAAATTTGTCACGATCTCTTTTTACGCACAACCATTCAGCTTGGATAATAAACGAAATATATGTATGTAGGTATACGTGGAAAAGTTAAGAAAAATATATACATAATCACTTATACCATATATTTATAGAGTATTATATAAAATTATATATTGTTATGCATTTTGTTGGCTACAAATTAACAATAGACAGGTATATTTTTAGAAAAAAAAAAGAGAGAATATAATTTTCTATATCTTAAAAATAAAGAAAGGAATAGAAAGTCCCAAATGAATTTTGATGGCTGTTTATATATGACTTTAAAATAATGATTTTTTTTTCAATAATTTAATTAAATACAACAGAATGATGGAATTATCGCGAAATTATTTTGGTATTTTCGATGCGTTACGCCTCTCGTTTTCATGGAACGGGGCGTAATAATTTCTTAAAATTTAATATCACATAATGACGCGCCGATTCGACGGCTCACCGCATGGTGCATCTGCGGTGCATTATTAATAATTCCATACCCGTGTTCTATGAACGGTCACGTTGGTATCACGTCGAGGTCAGCATTTTCCGCGAAGTCGGCACACACATATAATATCGAATAAAAAGCAGGGCGAACGCGTCGTGCGTGCTTCACGCGATATAAATGTTCTTTTTTTTATTTTTTTTTTATGGTGAGAAACTGCGTACCGCCGTAAACATGCATCGCCGTAAATGAACCTGGAATCGTGCTCTGTCGACACATCTGCATGTTACACGCGTGTATGCACCTATGTGTGTTTCTAATTTAGTATTTATTCTTCGTTATTAAAATGAGTACAATTAGTTGGTACTTTGAATCGCCCGAGATACGTCGCGAACATGTAGGTTTGTAATTATATAGCAAGGGATATCACATATGTACGATCGTTACATAGGGCGCGCATATGCGTGTGCAATGCATATTGAAATGCTATATAGCGAGAGAGAGAGAGGATATCGTCATTCATCGCGTAAGTGAAGATAACTGGAGCGCGATAATAAATAATAAATGCGTTTGTGAACGCAGGTTAAGTGTCGCCGCATACCTTCGTGATTACTCGCGGTTAGATTAATTTGTTATTAACATTATTTCATAATTAGGTCGTTAAAATCAGAAGATAAAATCGTTGTAGACTTTTATTCAGGTTCCTTGGCAAACGCGTGCACGGGGTTGCGTTTAAGGATGTAAAAATTACAGGTATTTTCTTTTAATCGTGCTTCGCAAGTTTAGCTTGAAACGCGACTGATCGCAAAAATGACGCCACGAGCTCCAACGTTTCACAATAAATATCTAATATTCATATTACGCTTAAAAATGTTCGGCTCGCGAAAGAAACATATGAAATCCTTATATTACGATGTCGGGTAAATATTGCCACAGTTTCGCCGCAGCTGTGGACGATCCTTTGGCACATGCTCAGAAGAATCGATTTCTCGTTTACACAGCTGCGGAAGTGACTCAAACGAACAACGTGTGCTCAGGAAAATTATCCAAAGCACAGCGACGGGCATTAGCTATTCTCGACCCAATTCATGCGCTATATACATCCGCAACCCTTAAATTGTCGTCGCATATAGCGCGGAGTGGTTCATCCTCTTCCTGATACAAGAGATAACGAACGGCGGAGTAGAAATAGATAAGCTTGAAAGACTCTATATATATATATATCACGTATTTCTCTCGAACCTTGGATTTCTGTTGCCAATTTTTCTGGGTCGGCATTTTTTTATATTTACAGAAGCGTCCGGGTTCTCGTATAAATTTGGAATTAAAAGTCCAGAATTTTCTCGAGAAATAAAATATTGAAGTTTTCTGAATCAGCTGTTCGAAGGAAGTGTTTAATGAAATGCATTATGTACTACGGGATCTTTTGACTGATCGCGCATTTCCTATTAACAATACGTATATTGTAAATGGTAAAACAGTAAAGAGATGATAGCTTTTGAATGGAAAAGAGATAAATTTAAGCTCTTTCACTGCTTTAACGCGTTCGGCCGTGTGACGCTATTTTCGTGCCATTGTTCTACATTATACACAACCACTGTAACAAAGCATATCTATACCCATAACGGCCGCTTCTCTTTCTGCCATTCAGTTAACTTTAATTATGTAATTTAACTTTCCTTATAATCTCAGTCTCTCTCTTTCTAATTTCATCTAATTTCTATATATGCAAGTGTATAATGCATATAAATATATACACAACACGAATAATATTAGAATTAAAATTATATTTTTAACGCAAGCAATATTGAAATGTTTAATAAGTATGATACGATAGGAGACACACATTTATTTATATAATATCAATAATTTAATATTTCAATAAATTGAAGATTATAATATTTTAAAGACTTCATATTGAATTATTGAATCGCGTATATTAATAAACATTTCAATATTGCTTCTTTAAAATATTAATCGCGCTAAAAATGCGCAAAGCGAAATAATGTTTTTATAATAACATACAAATCCATTACTAGAAAATCAACATATTCAAGAGCAAATATTAACTCGTTATAATTGCCGTAACGAATCTCCACAACGCGCGTCACAAAATAACAAGAGGGGCCAATATTTTGGCGATGATAAACCGATAAACTCATATCGTTCCTCAATTTGCGCGCGACGGAGACGCGCAAATATATAATTGCGTTATCTATTCTATCACAACTGCGCGTAATGCACGATGAATGTTGGTGTACTCACTAGCATTAACGAAATTGCTCCCACGTCCGTTCGCTGATCCATTTGGCTCGCGACAGTATGAAAATTTAACGCCTTCAACGTCCGGACAGTATCGGATTTTCCACTTTCCGGTCGTTAAAATTGGATATTTAAAGTCGGAAGACAGACCCGAAGTACGATACCGTATATACCCATGAATTTAAGCATTTCAAACACTTGTCCCGAATATCGAATACAGCCTCTGTCTATCTCAATGTAACTTATTTCCGCGTCAGACTCTAACATCTTAAATTCATCAATAACACTATTAAACAGCAATGACTTTTTTTTCGAACGAGACGAAAGGTTTCTTATAATTTTTATTGGATGCTGAGCACGAATCTGTCATGTGAGAGACATGCAATTAAAGTTACAAAGAAGGACTATTTTCACGAAGTTCGTTATATTGTATAGCTATAATGTGATATGTGACGAGATGAGAGAAGTTTTATTACAATTAAAATAAAATATATTATTAGGATTTTCAACCCTCAATAGGAATTTTTAATGTCGTTATGGTTTATAATTTATAAGATATCCAGTATTGCAGAATTTAGCTAAATAAGTCACTTACTTAGGTTAACGAGTTTTAAAATATATTTATTTATTCTTAAAGGCCTTTTAGGTCTCTGAATACAAATCCAATCTTTATTGAGGGTTGAAAGTCCTAACAATATACTATATTATAGTTATAAATGGCAACTTCGACTCTTAAAATTGTGACGTGACGGAGCAATTTTGAAGACAGATTCGTGTTCAGTTCCAAAAAGCTATATAAGAAACGACTAGTGCCGGTGTTTTATTTATTTATTTATTTTGAACAGTGTAATAATTTATTTCTCGGCAAGAGCGCTTGACTGCGATTATTATAACATAATGGAAACATGATTACCTCCTGAACCTTCCTGTGGACGACGATCTTGTGCCACTGATTATCGTCGAATCGCACCCTGGCCGGTTTTATGTGCAGATCCAATCTTCCTTTGGCCAGGGTCATTCCTACCGCGGCGCCTCCGTCTCTCAGCGACACGGTGAGATAATCATCGCCCTCTCCTGTAATTAAAAACGGGGACTAATGAAGTCACGGGCGAGTGTCGCGCGCGCGCAGCAAATGAACCCTTATTTCGCTCTCTCAAAGCGGAGATAAAACGCGCTATTGAATTAACGTGATGGCAGGCCGCGACGCGAGATCGTCGGAAACGCCTCGCAGCCAGCCCATGCAGTCGTGGACATCTGTGTTGACGCGGCCGGCGTTGACATTACTGTCCATTGAGCGCAATCCCTTTTGACGCGTTAACGTCGCACGCACATCGCGCGCTGAGAGGGAATGTAAAAAAAAATAAAAAAAGTACGCATACGCACGCGGATTCCGATGCAACGTTTTAATCCCCATGGCGACATATATCCCGTCCATCGATTACCCTCGCTCATCGCTCCATTTTTCGTTGAGCCCGTCCGCCGTATTATATCGCGAAACGATGCGTATAAATCGATTAACGACCGTTTAACCATTAGTTTCGGGGCACTTAGTGTCCGGGCGCGACCGGTTAAAATGTCCGCCGATCGTCGTTAATAATTATCGTCCCCGGACTCTGTCTGAAAATCCTCGCGGATTACGCTGTTCGGTTCGTAACGAATTGGAGAGTTAAGACGATTTTGTGCTGATGGAGTGTATACGCTTTTCTGATTAAGGGTCGGCGATATATAGAGGGAATAAACGTTTATATATATATACACACACACACAATTGATATCAGATACCATTTGTATTAATATATCTGAGCCAATTATGTTCTCTCTCGTAGAAAATAAAATCAAAGAAGCGAAAGGAATAAATAAATCGTTGATGAAAATACGTCTCTTGATATATACGGTCTGGGTAAATAAATTTTTATGCGGCATTTTACTTTCTTGCATCTGATTGAATTTACAAGAATTCAAAGGATTCGTTCGTGCGCGCGAACATTTTTCTATTTATTTTCCATCTTCTCCCTTTTCACGGCGCGCGTAGCAAATAATAATAAGACCGCGAAAATGCCAGGGACATCATGACCCTGTACAAAACAGAGAATCATAATTCTCGCCGTCGCGGACAGGATAGGAAGGAAACTTAAGACGCGTCGCGCGAAAGAGATTCGCGGACGTGTCGTTACGCTCGTGAATTTCGCAAACGCCGACGTCGGATATTGCCGCAGTCGCTTTAAAATCGGACCGCGACCGCATACTAATTATCCCGCGGGAGCGGAGACGCGAAGAGGAGAAGGGGCGAGACTGGAGCTTATAAAAGATGCAGAGGGCACTTCGGACTTAATTGCTGCCGGCGCGGCGCATTAGCATGCGCCTAATTGTAAGTGCATTACGCGCGGTATCGCGCTCTTCGCTCGTGTAGCTATCGCGCGTCCTCGTCTCGTTTATTTGCGCGATCGCTATCCGAAAACAAACGCGATAACGCGGATAGTTGTGTGCGAGAAATCGGCAGCGCGAGCTTCCGTCGTAGTTACATTCGATTATCACTGTTTAAAACAAACGAAAAATTTATCAGAACGAGTCTAGGTCTAGCGGTCAGGAAAATCGAGAAAATCGGGCATTGTCATTCAGGGAAAAAAGTCAGGAAATTTTACCATTTATCTGCATTTTTTCACATTATTCCACATTTGTCTCAATAATTTGACATTTTTTATTATATAAATATAAACTTTTTCTTGACAGCGTGTTCGTTAATTTGTATTTTCATCGTCGTGTTATTTTATTTCAATGTGTTTGATAGAGACAAAACAAAAAAAATGTGATATACATAAAAAGGTGATTATCGTACACAATGCAGGTTGTATAATTGATTTAAATTTTATATCTGGAAAAAATAATACTAAAAAGTCAGGGAAAAAATTAATTTCTGGTCTTGGAAACTTTGAAAAAGTCAGGGAATTTTTTCATCGATTCTGCTGGACACCCTGCGAGACTAGTCGTTTTTTTTCTAGTTTTTTGATCGCTGAATCTAGTTTCCAAATTACTCCATCACGTCACAATTTTGAGGAATATGACGGATTTATATAAAAAAAAAAGCGTTTTGAAATTATTTTGACATATTGAATACCATTTTGAATTTGACAATTGTTTGACATTAAATTCGTATTCAATAACGTAAATAATTCTTAAAAATTCTCAAAAGGAATTGTTGATGTCGTATTGCGGAAGTTAGCTATGACTTAAGTCATTGACGATTTACCAGATAAATTTCAATTATTTTTATTTAATCTTGAAAGTTTTTAAGTCACTGAATACGAATCCGGTGTCAAAATTGTCAAATTCAAAATGATGGACTCAAAAAAACATTTTTAAAATTTTGACATTTTTTATATTAAATACCATTTTGAATTTGTTAATTTTTTGACTGAATTCATATTCAATAACCTAAATAATTTTTCAAAGCTATTTAATAAATCGTCAATGACCTAATTGTAAGTTACAGCTAACTTCCGCAACACGGCTCATATTTAATTATGGATACTTATTAATCATAACCGACATTAAAAATTCCTTTTGATAGTTAAAAGTCCTAACAATATGCTTCATTTTGATTGTAATAAAACTTCTCTAACACGTCACATATTGTAGCTATATAATATAACAAAGTTTGTGAAAAAAGTTCTTTTTGCAACTTTCATTAAAAATTTCTCAAAATTGTAACGTGAATAATTTGGAAACCAGGTTTGTATTCAGCATCCAAAAAACTATAAGAAACGACTAGTCTCATTCTAATTTTTTTTTGTTGAACAATGTTCTTGATTAAAATATTCTCACATATACGCCATTCTCCAAAATATTGTGTTTAAATAAATATCTTATTGAAGTTAGAAATCCTTGTTATATTTATTCTCGTCCATACATTGAAGTGAAAATATATAATTGCTATTTAATATCATTAATATTAAATTACGTGCAATATAATATTGTATTAATATTGAAATTGGATTATTTGTTTATTTAGCTCGAATAGAGTTTAGTTGGGCGAATTTATTCTGCTCGATTACTCCTCAAACGAAGTATCATAAAATCTCGTATCTTCTTCGTTACATTTTCGAGTAATATCTTTGGCACGTGTTGTTGCATCGTGTTGCAGACATATAATAATAATTATTGCAAAAGCGGGCGAAACAATTTCGATGCGAATTTAACGTGCATATACCGCGGTTCGCGGAAATTTGAAGAGCGCAAGTAGAAAAATACGGAATTGGTCAGACGCGTCTTTCCCGAGGAGACTATCTCGCGGTGGGAATTCCTTTGCAGTGCGATACCGCGATTTTGAAGAATGTTAAGTCGCGCGACGACGATTATCCTTCGTGAAAATACAGGTATTCTAAATGCACGGCCGCGGCTGTATTACAGCTTATCTCGGAACAAATGAGCGGCCTGGTGCGAGCGTGCCGCAAGGAGATGCAAGCTGGAGAAACAAGTGCTATGTGTATATATATATATATATATATGTATATATGTGTGCATGTATGTGTGCGCATCGTGTGTGGGTAGTACGGCATTGCGGCTGCGGTATATAGGTTTCGAGTTGCCGCTGCAACCGGAACGGAGGTGCAAACTCCTCCTTTTACTGCGGATGGTGCAGTCTTGCCGTCTTGGCTGCGCTGATTCCACGCCGTTCATTATGTAAGTATGCTATAAACTCGAGGTGTACGTGTGCATCTGGAGCATAAGATGAAGGAAGCCGCGATGTGGCACTATAAATGAAGGAGCGACGCGGATATAATAAAGAAATGAGATAATTGAGAAATCTGATCTCAAGCGCGGAATTAAATTTTTATCTCGCTTTGATTTCTTTTTTTTTTTTTTGATCTGATTTCTTTCGAACTTTGATCAAACGCAGTCTATTTGTGTCCTCTCGCGCAGAGAGCTTTGTAACTTTTCAAATTAAAATTAAAACTTTATTAAAGTTTATTCTAAATTAACTAGAAAATAAGATTTCTTTATATCATTTTAATTTTTGCAATAATCTCACACACACTTGTCACCTAAAAGGGTTATTTTTCACGATATTTGTGTTAAGATAAAATAGACTATACATATATATCTAATTTTAACGTAACACAAAGTTAAAAAATTGTTATCATTATTTTTAGATGACATGTACTTTTGAAATTATATATCAAAGTTAAAATTAAAATAATTATATAAAATAATTGAAATAGTTATAGATATTAAACTGCACTTTTAGAATGCTAGAGATAAATTTAAAAATGCTAAAAATAAATAATTTGATTTATTTTCTGTAACTTAAATTGAGATACGACATTCATTATTCTGCCTAGGAAACTGTAAGCTAACATTTTCGGAATCAAGATTAATCGGGGTCAACTAAAAGCCTTTACCATACTCTGTTAAAATAAAAGAGAGAGAGATAGAGAACAATAAGAATGGATAAATGAAAAGAAAGAGAGAGAAAATTTCTCTGGTTGCCGCATATCCGGGAGCCGAACCACTGGAACGTCCTAATTGGCTATAATGTCGCCACGAGAGAGGGAGATATCGCAAAGATTTAATATGAGACCATTGTCCAAGATGGTACCATTGTCTATTCGCATTCTCTCGAAGGATATCCGGTCGTTCGTAAGTCACTCGATTAAATGCGACTCCATTGTAGACCTTCTCGAATTGTTTTCAATTAATCGTGCGCTTCTACGATCGATCGTTTATTTCCAGAACAGAAAATTCACAATACATATATATAATTGTGAATTTTATGTTATATATAATGAATTAATTTGCTATATTAATTCAATTGCCCTGCATATTTCTATTGTTAGCGGAACGGAATATTTGCCATGAACCGGAAATTTATTTAAACAATTTTGTCACTCGCTTCTATATGCCATATTTGAAATCATTATTTTCACGCTTTTGATTTTATGCTCGGCATTTTGATATTAAATATTTGTTCATTAATACATTTTTCTGTTCGTTTTCAAAACTCTGTTATTCCAATAACAACTAATTTCTGTCTATATATATATATAATATACTATTTTTTAAAAATGAAATTGTCACTTACAGGAAAGTTATTATGTGATCGACAAAAGAGAGAAGTCATTTGCGCTAGAAGGATGTAGGATGTAGAAAATACTTACCGGAATAAAATAAAAGTCCATTTGGCTGTCTCGTTTTGAACTGAAGGCTTATAGATTCCTGTGTACTGAGTACCGGTTCTCCTTTGCTCAGATCTATCGTGAGATACTCGGTCCCTCTGAAGGACGCTTCCGAAGGGGCTTTGTCTGGAAACAGAAAAGAGCCACCGGTCAATTCGCCGCGACGAATTTTCGTTATAGATTCGTTTAGCGAATTGGCTAAATCATGGACTAAAAGATAAATAGAAAGTCTCTTTCATCTTTTTACTGGAACAGTATAAAAGAAATCCTACGAAGAAAATTTGATTAAAGGGTAACATTCAAAATCTTTATCCTTTTTTGTAACAAAAATAAATTAAATTATACCAACTATTAACATAACATTTAATATTAATACTTTATTAATACTCATTTTTAGAAGACAGTGTGCATAAAAATTGTTACTAATAAAAGATATATTACGGATTATATCCTAAGAATTTGTCATACAAATAGAAAAATGAAAAAATATGTATAAGTACACATTTATTATTTAAAATGATAGTTATATTTGACAACAAATTAATATACATTTAATTTAACAATTAATAGTAATACGTGGAGCAAAAGGAGAATATACAGGGTGTCCGGTAACTAACGGACCAACGATTACAAATGGATTTTTTGGTCAATTTGGGAACGATTTTTCCTCAGCAAAAATGTCGAAAAAGGTCATCATTTTTTACAACTTTCCAATATTTGTCATTATGTATCTTTATAACTAAGCCTCAAATTAAAATTTTATTATAGTAAACTCTACCTGAAATTAACTGAAGATTATAATTATGTTAGACTTTTAACTCCAAAACGTTTAGTTTTCAAAAAACCCATTTTTTTCAATCGCTTATAACTCGAAAATTATTGACTTCTCAACATTTTTGCTAAGGAAAAATCGTCTCCAAATTGGCCAGAGAATCCACCCTTAATCATTGGTCCGTTAGTTACCGGACACCCTGTATAATATAATTTTCATATTTTTTCAATGTGATAAGATTTCTCGGTTCCTTCTCGTAAGTTCGCGAATCACAGTAATAAGAGCCGAGAATCCCGACCTATCATCTTGGAAGCGACGCGCCTCTCGAGAGAAAAATCGACGGGCCCGAATTTATCGCAGCGATTCGTTCCTAGCGCAGTTGAGCGAACTGAAAGAGATACGAAGTGGCGATATATATATATATATATATATATAGTACACAGCCCGGTTCTTCCTTCCGCGGATCGTCGGGATGATTTGCGGCAGTAATGAACATTTCAATCGGTGCATCCGAGCCCTCACCACAGCGCGATTTGGCGACGTGCCCGGTGCCATTAAAGCCCATCTTACGGGGCTCTTTTTGCGCGACCGAGCTTACCTTTGTTTCGTCGCGCGATAACAATGGAAAGATGGAAAATAACGGGATAGGCGACACCGGAAGGTCTCTCTCCCGAGCGGAATCTTGAAATCCGATTAAGTGTCTACCGTCGAGTCGGATAAAGAGCGTCGGGACTTGTTTGCGACACCGCGAACGATGACGAATTCGAAACGAGCAGATCTTGACACTTAACAACTGAGAGGTAGGAGACGGAAAGAAAGTTTCGGACGTGAGTAAAATGGAAAAGGTGTGTTAAGCTTTCAGAATGCAAGAAACGCTCTGACGCTCTTAAATCAAATCAATAAAAAATTTCATTTTCTCCTCTGTTCACTTTTTTATATATAAATGTTGACAAATTTATGCAGAACAGTGCATACTTTTTTTACTTTTTAAAAAAGAAATTATGTTTTATTTCTATTTACGGAATATTAAATAACAGAGATATCTGATCTCTCAGCTCTCAACGTGATGAGTACGCGAAGTATCTGACATTTAATTTTTTTCCGGGATTTAAATAACAGGACATAATTGGGACAATACCTATATTTAGAATAAGCGCCCTTAAATATAGGCTATTTTATATTTTCTTATTTATCATATAGGTACAGGTTTTTTAAAATTCTTTTTTTCTACTACACAAATGTTTATCTAAATTTTATATAAATTTAATCGCAAAAGCAAACGAAAGATTGTGTTTGCAAGTGCTATAGAAATTGAAAAAAATTTGGACTCATAAAACATGTCCCCGCAGCGATATTAATAAAACGGAGTTTGCTTCGATCGTCTTCGATCGCGGTGTTTCATTCGAACTATACTCTATAGAAATGTCGAGCTTACTTGGTCATTGTCTTCTGGGCGTATATAGCGGCAGTTTAGTGGCAAGATTTATGATAAGAGAGGAACGCGCTCGCCCGCGATTGATCGCGAGAGTGCGCCAGGTGCAGAATTACGCGGCACCCACTGCTGGCTTCCTAATGAATGGCTGGCGATTAATACGGATTATGGCGAAGGCGCGTGTATCGGCCCTCGCTAAGGCGTACTTAGTCGCGATTTATGCACAACTTTGTCAACGTATTCCTCGATGCGCGAGGAAAAGTTGCAGCAAAAACGTTAATCGAGGAAACGCGAAGATGCATCCGAACTGCATTCGAATGCATCTTGTATAGATTAAGTAAATTGGTTCTCTGCGAAATAAACGAAGGATGATTACGATATCTTAAATTCGATGCGAAGGAATTTCTCCGAATTTTTTCCAAAATTAAATATAGATTTCGATCTATTTTATAGAGTTATAAAGGATACTTCAAGTTATCAATTATAAAGAATACTTATGATCCGAATTATAGACTGGATGTTAACTCGTTGTTGCTGTTATCTATATACAGAATGTCTGACATAAGGTGTTATTTGGAGACAATTTGCCCTCAGCAAAAATATTGATACATCAATAATTTTCGAGTTATAAGCGATTGAAAATAAAGAGGGTTTCTCACAAACTGAGCCTTGGAAATAAAATATTAAAAAAACCATATTCTCTCTCTTCAATTAATTTCAAGTAGAGTTTACTTTAATAAAATTTTAATTTAAGATTTAGTTATAAAGATACATAATGGCAAAAATTGGAAACATGCAAAAAATGTTTTTGCTGAGGAAAAATCGTCTCCAAATAACGAGATGTACTTGTATATTTTCAATGTGTGACACTTTATGTCAGACACTCCATACAATAATTTTATTTAATCAATTTAGAATCGAATTTAAAATTTCAACGCACAAATATATTATTTTATAAATTATTTTCAGTAATACTTTTCTAAAAATTAAATAGATCTCTATTTTATTCTGACGGAAATGCCTTATTTTATCGAGAGACGCTGATAGATTTAAAATTCTATAAGCGATTAAAAATTGTGGGACATCTTAGAAGCTTGTTCTTAAAATTGTTCGGAGCGAGAACAGACAATGAACAGGAGACAATTACCATAAAACGTGGCATCTCACGCGCGCATACTACTCTACCCAGATAATTACGCGATATCCAGCAGAATGGTGTTGCCAGGATTGGTTTTGCTCCATTGGGGATCATTTGGCGTCTCAACTAAATCGATCGCCCGATTTTGCAGTACTCGCGCGTATAACGCACGTGCCGGATAATTAACATCAGCCGCGCGTAATTACTCGAGCGAGCTAAGCATCCGCTTAGTTCTCCGGAGAATTAAATTTCCAGGGTGAAACAGCGAGCGCGACTCTAGGAAAAATTAAAAATGGCGCGTGGAAAAAGAATACTGTGTGATTCTTTATCAGTTATAAAGAATACTTATGAATAGTATACTGGATGTTAACTCGTTATTGCCGTTATCTGTATATACCAATTTTATTTAATCAATTTAGAATCGAATTTAAAATTTTAACACACAAATATATTATTTTTGTAAATTATTTCCAGTAATATTTTTTAACTGGAATGCTAAAAAATTTATATGAAAAAGTGGCGTTTAATCAAATTTTTATTAATGAAAAATTAATAAAATTCTTTTCTTGCTTTCCATCAATTTTATTTATTACTAAAAACATAAACGTTCGATTTATATATCACACAATATCGGACACACGGGATATTATGGCAAAACTCGTTTAATTTGTTACGTGTCAACGTCTCATATAACATATTTGCTGGATAAACTACTAAACTATGTCACAGCAAGAAAGCAAAGACGCGATATGAACATATCACGATGATGAGACTTGTCCACTATATCGCATATACTTCCACTCGTTATTATCTTCGACGATGATCAGCGCGTTCCTTCCATTCTTTTTTATGATCATCACTCTACGATATTACAGATAATTTGTCACATCTGCTTTTCCTCTCTCCAGATATTGAATCACATGCAATAGTGAGAAAACAGAAAAAGCGAGTTGTTATTTTTAAACATTTTATCTGCACGTGTGACGTAATACATTTATATAATTTGAATAAGATAAAAATTATCTTATTAAGGAATATTATGTGTTTCTTTTTTAGAAATTATAATTTAAAAATATCTTGTCTAATAAGATCCTTGGTATAAAAAAGATCTGATATAAAAATTATATAGTTGATTTCTTTTGATATAAAGATATATATTTTATATAAAAAATTTTTGACGTGTAAAATATTTCGTTACATTATTGATAAAAATGATATTGGAAAAGATGAAAGCACATCTCTTCTTTTAGTTGATAATACATTCGCAAAAAAAAATAACGAGGAGAATACCAATATTGAATAACATGCTGCAAAGTATCGACTTTGCATAATGATCGCAACATCGTCAGATATCAATCTAAAATTTTGTTCTTTTATAACTTACTTTTATAAAATCTTCTATCTTTAAAAATGAGTAGTATCTTATTATTTGCAATTTCAAACTTATTTTTAATTCTATAGATTAATATTTACCGTGGGAAAATTGTCATTATCAAATATTTTTAAAAAAATGTTAATATTTATTTGCATTATTTACAATTTATCGTGCGATTTCATCGTTTTACTAAATTTAAGAGTAACAACTTGAAATTCTTAATTCTTCATTAAATTCATCAAATAATATAATTTCGTTTAATGCATGGAGAAAAATTGAACATTATAACATTTATCAAAACTTTGAAGATGTATATTATATTAGTTTAACTCAATATTCAAACTGCTCTTAAAAGAGAGAACTATCTGTTTTTCGTGAATAGCGATGAAAAAGTCATTTGTTTAGCTTG